CTTCAGCGACAATGCTCCTCCGTTACGCGACTTCCGTACGGACAATTACTGGTCCCAGCATAAGGTGAATACGGGTTCTTTTAGAACTAGAATTTTGTATTTTTCGATGATTTCTTGTTTTCATGGAGTTTTGTTTTTGTGGTTTTCAGATTGTTCAAAGGGTGATTGAGGCTGTGTTGAAGCAGCAGAAGCGGGCGTCTGGTAATGTAATCTGTGTTGGATATGATAAGGTAAAGTCTACTTTAATGCCGTCGCAATCTTTGGATGCTTCTTCATTTCTTAGTTTTCTTTTATTTATGCCCCTTTTCCCCCCTTTATTGGTCACAGTTCAAGCGTTCAAGTCCCATTACCGAGCTTTTGACGGCTAAAGGATGGAGTCTTCTTCTGGAACGGGTATGGTCATGTTTGTCTGTTCACTCAATCAAATGGTATTTATTTGGTTCCTTTTAGTCTGTCGATTTAAGTAGAATGCTCTGAATTTGGGTTGCAATACAGGTGGGAGATGATGTTATGATTTATCTTCTGAAGTATGCATCGATCTTTCTGCCACTTCCTTGCTCGAAATACCAGCAGGTTGCTGGCTTTCCTACCAGCAACTTCGCTCTTCAAATTTTGTCAAAGCAGAAGGTGGAGTCACAATCACAGAGCAAACGTCCTTTGGCCAACAGTTTTGGTAATTAAGGCTACCTTGCTGTTCCTATGATTTTAGAGAACGTTAGAGCTGATTCTATCCAGCATTTTATCTTTTGATATAGCTTCTGAATCCATAGACAAGGGTGCTCACTGGGTTACTCTTTCCTTTGGTCAGAACCCACAAAGAAGAGGGCAAGATTCACCGACGAAAATGTGATGCAACACACTAGCCATTGTGTTAAAAGATGTGATCAGATGGATGCTCCCAAGGCAGAGGTAAGTGGCCAAAAGAATCATTTGTACAATGACCCTGAGGACTCCAAGCATAACGTTTTGGGCAGCAGAAAGCGGTCATGTAAGTGGCAGCGTCGCAGAAATTTAAGGCGCCTTGCTGCTAAAGAAGATGGCGAAGAGAACTCTTGCAGCATTAAGTGTAATCGCGAAGTTGGGTTCTCTAAAACATCTCATACTGGATGTACTAATGTCAGTTCAGATCATTATCATGAAAAGGTAATGTCTCTTTGCATTCCTGTTTTACCTTTCCCTATATGATAATAAGATGTTGCTCCATATCCACCCTCCAGGCTAGTGCTAATACTTAGTTGCAAACACTATGATGTCAGGTCATATCCGCTCATGCAGTTACTAAAGGGGCTGAGATCAATCGGCAACCCATCTTCTATTGTTATGGTGGAGCTTCATCAGTTCTTCCCCCTAAGCGTATCCTCATCTTTTCTCAAAAATTAAATTCCATATAGTGTTCGATTACTTGCTGAAACCAGAGACATATCAATCAAATGCAATGGGTGTTAATGACCCTGGGTAGATTGACTTCTTCTATGCTGCAGTTCATTGATTGTTGGAATAACATTGTCCAACACCTTAACTAACAACATTTAGATGTGTTGAAATCCTTAAAGCCGAACCATACTAGCTCTAGTTCTCTTCTACAGAGTATTTTTGGCTTCTCTGATGTAGCTGGAAGTGCACAATCACTGACATGCTCCAACTGTAATGCTTCTTCCTCGAGTCGACCTATGTGCCTGTAAGTATCCTAAATGCCATTTTGCTCATAAATAGTCTTAACTTTTACCTTTTCTGGACATTCACTTCAATTTTTTCACACTACACATTAAGGTTTTGTGGACTTCAATCTCATCATTTTCTGCATGTGTTGGTTGGGATTGTAAAAGGATTTTTTAGAATAGTGTACCAGTTTTTTGGTCGATATTCTTCAGTGCTTCTATGTAATAAGTTAGTTAGCAGTAGTCTAATATCCATGAACATGTGTTTATTACCACATTTATCCCTCTTTATCTACTCAGGCATCATTCACTTGCTAAACTGCTGAAGAACCTAATTTTTCGAACTCAACGATGCAATCACTTGAAGCTATTAGATAAACACTGTCCCGTTCCCTCTTCATGTCAGGTAATCTTTCACAGTGGACAAGAGCTAAAAATAAGAGGGGTTCAGTTAACGTGATATCCTTTACCGGAGTATAGCTATTGCAAATTAATCTAGAAGTGTCCAACTTTCAGGACAAAGATCTGAATGGAAAAGGACGTGACAGTTCCTCCAGTTCCAACTTGAATTCCTATAGTAAACCTCAAGCCGCCACTGATACCCAGGTCAAAGGAATGAAGTCTTATTGCTCAAAACATCAGGTGATATCATTTATATGGGCTGTTAGTAGAAACATAGTTCCTCCTGATTTGCTTGGAACTCCATCAAGCTGGAGGGTCTTAAGGAGAAATATTGCCAAGTTTATTCGTCTAAGAAGATATGAAAAGTTCTATTTGAAGCAATGCATGCATGAACTGAAGACATCAAGCTTCCCCATCTTCTGCAACAAACACCAACTGCTAGAGAAATGGATTGTTTGGTTTTTCTCTAACATAATAGTTCCCTTGCTTCAAGCAAACTTCTACATCACCGAGAGTGAGTATGGGAAGCAAGAAGTTTTCTATTATAGGAAATCAAGTTGGGAAACGTTGAAGAATCAAACCATGGCCTGCTTGGAAGACAAGAATTATCAAACTCTAAATGTAGCTGAAGTTTCGGGTATTCTAAAAAATAGATCATTTGGTTTCTCAAAGCTCAGACTTGTTCCCAAAAAGAATTCAATGAGGGTGGTTGCAAATCTCAAAGCAGCATCAAGACTGTCTGCTTCAGAATCTTCCTCGCATGTTCAATCTTCGTCAGTGTCAAGGAAAGTCCATTCTCTCAGTGACGTGGATGTAAGACACAAGTATTTCAAGCCAGTGAACTGCGTACTTCGTGATGCACATGCTGTTCTTAGAGGCATGCGGTCGAAAGAACCAGAGAAGTTTGGTTCATCGGTGTTTGACTACAATGACATATACAAGAAGTTGTGCCCATTTATCACGAGTCTGAACAGGAAGCCATCAGTCTCATCATTACCCAATGTTTTCACAGTTGTTTCTGATGTATCAAAAGCTTTTGACTCTGTGAATCAGGATAAATTGGTTAGCATCTTAAATGCTGTGCTGAGTGAAGATGGGTATCTTCTGAAACACGTCAACCAAGTTTTCTGCACTAAGAAATCTTTGTGGGTGCAAGAAAAGGCCAGCCTATTTGAGCCAGTTAATGTCATCGACAGTAAAAGATGCGGCTCTAGTGCAGTCAGTTCCATAAGCAGTGTGCTTGTTAATCAGGTATCTCATAGTGGTTGCAACTTTTACCACTTTGCCCTGAACGTATAATCACTCGAGACAGCTATTTATATATTTTTTGTCATAAATTTGCAGGGAATAGAAAGGCACTTGAGCAGAAGTGAGGTCATGAATGTACTCAAGGAACTTGTTAAGCGTAATGTTTTGCGGATGGGTAAATGCTTTTACTTGCAAGGTATGGGAATACCTCAGGGATCTATTGTGTCTTCTCTGCTTTGCTCGCTATACTATGGGCACCTTGAGAGAAGAGTGATTTTCCCATACCTTGAGAAAGCGAGCAAACCCATCATTGAAGATTCATCGAGAAGACTTCAGTTACAAGATTATTGCGGAAATGCAGAGACACGCTATGCGCTTTTGAGATTTATTGATGACTTCCTCCTTATAACAACCTCAAAGGATCAGGCTTCTGAATTTTTCGACAAGTTGAAGAAGGGATTTGGAGACTACAACTGCTACATGAATGCAGAGAAATTCTGTCTCAATTTTGATCCTGGACATGAATCGCCGCCTCCATCAAACAGGATCTACGTCGCTGAAGATGGAGCTTCATTCGTTCGATGGAGTGGATTGCTTCTGAATGCTTCCACTTTCGAAATACAAGCAGACTACACAAGGTCCGGTTTTTGGTGGTTTTCCTCTATAAGTGCCTTCCTTTATTCTGCATTGTGCTTAAAATATGACGATAAACTAATATCTTAGCTTGGGGGGATTATGTTTGGCTTGTACAATCAACATTCCAGGTATCTGAACAACCATTTGAGGTCACGTCTTACCATTGGCTGGGGCAAGAGACCGAGACTCCATATGGAGAAAAAGTTGCAGGCTTTCATGATACCCAAGTGTCATCCCTTGTTTTTTGATTCAAACATCAACACAGCACCAGTTGTGAGATTGAACGTCTTCCAGGCCTTCCTGATATCTGCTATGATATTCCATTGTTACGTTTCTGAGATGTCGTACATCTGCAAATTCCCTGCTGAATCCCATTTGAAGACGATTCAGGGAACCTGGAGGTACAATTATACACTGTGTCCTATGACTACTTCAATCAAGCTTTGCAAACTTGACTTTTCTCTCTCTGTAATTTCTTACTAAGAGTTTGTGCCGTTGTCCCTCTCTTAGATATATGCATACACTGATAAAGAGAAGGATGCAGTCTTTATCTTCTTCTTCTTCCGGTTCTTGTCCCAGTCCAGTGCTTCGGTTGCACGAGACCGAAGTACTTTGGCTTGCGATGAAAGCTTACATTGAAGTTCTAAAGAGGAAGCAGTCACGGCACAGAGTCTTGCTTTCCATGTTGAGATCAAAGTTGTCAGCTCATCCAATCAGCCAGAGTAAGAATTTGCCACCTGAACTGAAATTTGCTGTTGATAGATCGAATTCCTCCTTGCTCTGGAAAATCAAGTATTGAACGCACAGAAGCGACTGTCTCCTATACCTTAGCATCCCCTTTAGTCTTCCTGTGACAAACCCTATTAGCTGGAAATTGACAGCTGAGGTGATTCTGCACTGGCTTTCATATTTAACAGTCCTTGGCGGGAAATTTTATCTTACGCTTTCATATTTAAGACATACTCTCTTATTGCTTACTCAATTACTTGTCCTTGAAGCAAAACAAAGCCAAGCAGCCATGGTGAAATTTGTGAAATTTTGGAACCAACTTATTAATCAAGCATTCTTCAGTAATGTGTTCCCAACGTCAATGACGAATCTGTACTTAACATCCGCCTTCTCCAAACGTTCCATTGCCTTGTTCACATATTCCACCGGAATAACCTCGACCTCCGCCGCAATGCCATGTTTGCCGGCGAAATCAAGCATCTCCTGAGTCTCCTTCATCCCACCAATCCCACTCCCGCCGACCATCTTCCTGCCCTTCAGCAACGGGAAAGCCGGCAACTCAAGCGGCTTCGTCGGCGCCCCGACCAAAACCAGCTTCCCATTTGTCTTCAACAGCCCAATCAGCGGCACCAGCGGGTGATCCGCCGACACGGTATCGACGATCCCGTCAAACCTCCCCATCGCCGCCTTCATCTCCTCCTGATCGCGGCTGATCAGAAACGAATCGGCGCCGAGGTTTTGGATTGCATCATCTTTCTTCGCCGGCGAAGTGCTGATGACGGTTACTTGGGCCCCCATTGCCCTAGCAAATTTCACGGCGACGTGGCCCAGCCCACCGAGCCCAACAACGGCCAAGTTCATCCCGGGCCGGTCCAGCCCATAGTACCTTAATGCGCTGTAAACCGTGATCCCGGCGCAGAGCAAAGGAGCGGCGGATTGGAGCGGCAGGGCGTCCGGGATTCGGACCACGAAGTGCTCGTCGCAGACCATGACATCGGAGTAGCCGCCGTAGGTGACGGTTCCGTCGGAGCTGTGGCCGGAATAGATGGGGATTGCTTTTGGGCAGTGGTTTTCGAGGTCGTTGATGCAGCTGTCGCAGGAGCGGCATGAGGCGGCGATGCAACCGACGCCGACTCTGTCGCCGGGGCTGAATTTCGTAACTTGGCTCCCGACCTCGGTGACTTGGCCGACGATTTCGTGGCCGGGGACTAGTGGGTACGTGGCGATACCCCATTCGTTCTTGATCATGTGGAGGTCGGAGTGGCAGATCCCGCAGTAGAGCACTTTGAACTTCACATCCTTCTCCCCTGTTGCCCTGAATGGATGAAAACCAGAGATAAATCACAAATTAACAAAATGAGACAGCAAATGGTAGTATTTTACCGGTATGAAATGGTTGAACGACTAATGTGGTATAATCTCTTATACGATTATTTAATCTTTGATCCACAACATATTCAGTAGATTGAACCGAAAGGCACCTTCGGGAGAAATCGAAGGGAGAGAGGACACCGGATTGGTCCCTCGCAGCCCAACCAAAGGCCGGAACAGGGTGCTCTTGCTCTGCGACCTTAATTGCTGCCATTTGCTTGCTGGGTCTTCTGAGGTTTAAAAATTCAAGGTAAGGTAATGGCTTTTAGTTAGAAAATGTGGTGAAGGAAGGATTAATGGTGGAGGGGATTGAGGTGGTGTTGGTTTGTATGTATAGTAGGCAGGAAGAGGAAGAGGAAGAGGAAGAGGAAGAGGAAGAGGAAGAGGATGAGGATAATATTATATTATTATGTATGGGATAGAGGTTGGGAGTGACATATTTGGTGAGGTAACACTTAGGGGTCGTTTGCTTCAAGGATTTAAAAATGAGGGTTTTGTAATTTAAAAACCCAAGGATTTATCAAGGATTTGAAGCATCATGGATTTGTAACAATTCTTTGTTTGTTGGGATGTTTTTATCATGGATTTAAAGGTGTGAGATTTACTACTTGAAGTCATAAATTACATTACTGCCCTTTTCTATATGTTTGACATGTTTATGATATGTACACAAAACAAGGACAAAACTTCAAAATTACTTTACTATCATTTTCTATATGTTTGACATGTTTATGATATGTACACAAAACAAGGACAATACATACTAATAAGTATAATGTTGCCACATGGACAATAATAATAAACGAGAAAATTCCGTTTTAACTTTTAACGTAACATAATCAATTACCAATTCTTTGTCCTCCTTTTCAAAAGTAACATATAACAACATATATTAGAATCGGGAGAACAAAGAATTACACGTTCCATGAAAAGGTCAAAGAAAACTAGAACACAAGAAATTATATAAAAAATCTAACTCATGTTTGCACATTAATTGAACGTTTATATTATTCATTTATTGTTAATTATAATGTATAATAGTTAAATTTGAGGGCAACCTTGGAATATTAAAAGTGCATGAGGGTATATTGGTAAAATCTCATCAATGATTTATGCCATATTCCAAATCCCACATCAACATGTGGGATTTATAAGTCCGTGGGGTCCACGGATTTGGACCCTTTAAATCCGTGGGCCCCACGGATTGGTCTAAAAAAAAGGTGCAAGCAAACAACGGATTGTACCTAAATCCTTGATAGTTGGTTTTTTGGTACCAAATCCATGTACCAAATCCTTGAAACAAACGACCCCTTAATTAATTTGTAGTGGAAGAAAAATAATGGTTAATTAGGCAACCCTTTGGAATGGGGACAAAAACGAATCCTCCCATGATCCCATGTTTTGGGCAGCATCGCACATTTCAACACCAATTTCGTAATCAAAGTCTCTTGTGCAAAGGTGGGACATTCGACCATTCATGTAAAATATATGTTCACATACCATTCATATAAAAAAATATGCACAAAAAGTCAATACGGTTTATTTGGATGAATCAATTGAAAATGAGTTATTTATAACGAGTCAATTCGAATTGTCTGTTCCCACCCTAAACAATTGTAATTGTCTAAATACTAGTCAATTTGAAAGTCCTCTGACAGAATTGCTTCATCTGAATTTTGTGATGCCAAACAAATCAATTTGACTAGATTGTCTCAAAACGAAACAATTTGGTCAAATTAATCCGTTAGAATTCATCATCCAAACGACCCGTTATATTTTATAGATAGTACAATACGCTATAGGTAAGTTACATATAACATACATACACATATTTTACTTCATCTCTAAACTAATAGTTAGTCTAATAGTACACTAATAGTAATAAAAGTATTAAAATAATTATTAAAAATGTATAAATAATTTCAAAATTCTCAACCTTTTATAGTTAATCAAAATTGTCATTTAAGTATGGGAGATGCAATAACATAAACTCCTCCCAATGTTTACACTCGTGTATGAGTCTAACTATACCGAAAGCCATTACATAATTTAGCAGCGGATTCAAGACATAGTAGAGCACTGGATCGCATTTGAAAAGAGGCACAGAGAGCTGGGTCGTGACCCGACTAACAATAGACCAAATATCTAAATCGAAAAATTTATAAAACTATACCTGCTCTGGACTCAAAAGAGAGCTAAATCGTGACCCGAGAAAGCATGCACCTGAATCGGCCACTAGATATATATCTAGCAACCATAAAGAAAAAAAAAAGTATCAAGTATAAGTGGATAACCAATTCTTCTCATCCTCTCCCGGATACTGGGATTTCCTCCAGAAAATGTTATGCACTCATTGAGAACCCATCCTGCAAGTTGCAAAGGTGAACAGTAAACATCTCTCTCCATACAAATGATGACATCTCTCACGCCATAAATGGCTTACTTCTTTCTTTCAAGTTTCAACTGTCCACTCCACTAATTAAGATGAACCCATAGGGAAGAAAAAAAAAAAACTAATAAGGGGCAATTTTGTTTCCGTTCTTAACTTAATGTTGTCATATGCAGAAAGTGTTGCACATCACTCAGATAGGTAAAAGATGAATTGAAGCAACATTCATAATTCATAAACCAAATTCATTCTAGGGATGCAACACTAGGAGTGGACATCGGATTGGTCTGAGTGGATTTTCGCCATATAACTTACCAAGCCACTCTTAGAAGGGTTGACAAGTTTTGATCCACCAACCACACACATTCAATTTCGGGCTGGGTTGGACAGATAGCGGGTTTGCAGTTGAATGAGCGGATTAATAAAAAAAAATTATAAAATCCACGGGAGTTAATTTATCAACAAATTTGTCTCTTTCGTCATTCATCATCAAAATAGAAGTGAATAACATGAATAAAGGTTGCAAAAACTAGGCTCGTACACTCGCTCATTGGTCATTACCCATTCACCAACTGTTAGTACCTCTATACTTCATCTATGACCAAACCCACTAACCAACCCATATAACACAAGCTCTCTGTCATCAATTACTTTGATAAACGGATACATTTAAATTTCTTTAGCATCTTCTTCTATAAACCGTGATCCTCGAGAAGTTTTATCACAATGGTAAGTTACAGGATCCGAACCTGAGAACACATCTTCCAACCCTATGCATTATATGAGAAAGTTGGTTGTACATACGTTACCAGCTAAAATGAAGACACTAGGGGGTTTCTTGCATATTTCGTAAACCAAATTCTACTTGGTAGGTAACGAATCCAACCGCTTTAATTCACAACAATGACCAATGCCAAATCTAGTAACTTGAGGGGATCAACTTCTCTAAACTGGAGGGAACCAAATCAATGCTCTCTGATCAAAGCTGGACAACAGGGAGGGAGCACAGGAAGGGAAGCAAAATGGCGCCGTCAAGATCTCCATGATCACCATGGAGTTTTTCACGGTGGGTTTGAACACTCTGTTCAAAGCAGCAAGCTTGAAGGGACTAAGCTACTATGTCTTTGTTGCCTACACTTCCATCATAGCAGCTCTATTGTTCCTCCCTTTTCATCTAGTCTTCCACAGGTCACTTGCTTCAACCACTTCTGTAACACCATAGCCACGAAACGCGGCGCAAAATCGATGGGTAACATGATTGATCCACTCTTGTTTTCTTTTTTGCAGAACCATACCACTTCCCCAGCAAAAGAGACCTCTTTTTGTGAGGATTCTTCTTCTTGGTCTTATTGGGTTTGTGGGTCTCGTGATTGGATATAAAGGAATAGGATTCAGCTCCCCTACTCTAGCAGCAGCCATTGGAACCCTGAACCCTGCTTTTACATTCATACTTGCTGTCATGTTCAGGTAAACATTCTGCAGTTTTCCTGGCATTTCTTGTCTCCCAAGAAACTCTAATTTTTCTGCTGTTGTTGTTCTTGGAAGGATGGAAAGGTTGTCACTGAGAAGATCAAGCTCTCAGGCCAAGATAATTGGCACAGTATCTTCCATATCAGGAGCAATAGTTGTGGTGCTTTTCAAAGGTCCAACAATTCTGTCCACTTTTTCATCACCTGAAGAACTTGTAGCAGCAGATGGCACTTCTCACTCAAATTACTGGCTTCTTGGTGGACTTTTGATTGCTACTGCGCATCTCCTTTTCTCACTTGGATATATTGTTCAGGTACCAATTCATTCATTCAGGGATAAAGCTGTGTCAAACTTTCTTTGGTAAACATTACTGTGATCTGCAGGCTCAAGTTTTGAGGATGTATCCAGCAGAGTTTTCAGTAGCATTGTCTATTACAATGTGCACCAGTGCAATGTCACTAGCTGCATCTTTTGTGGGAGAGACAGATATTGATGCATGGATCCTAACAAAGCCTGATATAAAATTGGCTGCTGTGCTATATGGGGTGAGAATGAGATTTATTAGAATTTCATAAGACCATTAGTGGGATTCTGTACTTACAGAGGCATCTTCATTTGATTAATGTTACCTTTGCTATGTTGATGATATTAAGGGGTTTTTTGGAGGGTTTTTGAACACAATCGTTCATACATGGTGCCTGCACATGGAAGGCCCAGTTTTTGTGGCCATCTTCAAGCCACTGTCAATCGCGATCGCGGCGGCCATGGGGGTGGTGTTCCTTGGAGACGATCTCCATCTTGGAAGGTATGTATTTATTTGCAGTGAAGGTGTGTCTTCCATTTGAGGCTATTGAACTTTTAGTCCTTTACCCTTTTTGGGTTTTGTGGATATAATTGCAGTGTTGCTGGGGCAATGGTGATATCTGCTGGGTTTTATGGAGTGATATGGGGAAAGGCTAGAGAAGGAAAAGAAGAAATGGAACTTGCTGCTGTTGAAGATTGTGGGTCTCCTTATCACTTGAGAACCTCATCGACTAACAGTAACTCGCTTCCTTTCTTGGTGAACCATACATGAAGATTGGATGGAACAGCCGATTATCAATTTTAAGATATAAAAAAAAAGGGTTAATTGCATTGTTGGTCACTGAGATTACAAAAAATGTTCATGTATGGTCACTCGAAATATTTAAATTCATTCATGGTCACTAAATTTAGTAAAACAATCCAAATTTGATCACTCTCCGTCCAACTCTATTAACTTTGTCTGATGTGGCAGTCAACTCTCATAGTTGACCGTTAAATGTATGATGTGGCAATTAAAAAAATAAAAAAAATAAATTTGAAATTTCCACCTCATTATCATAACCACTAAAATAAAATAAAAAAATTTAACTCTCTCAACAGGCGGATTCTACAGTGCCGCCTCCTTATTAGCCGCTGGATTTGCAATATATAATAAGAACCGTTGATAATGACCACCACTTAACC